GCAGCATAGCTCTAAAGAAGCCTTATCAGACGACTGTCGGTGATGATCGAATCCATTCTTATTCAAAGAAATCGACTAAATTTTGTTAGATCTTTGACGCTCGATAATATTTTTGGATGATCGGAGGTTGGATTCTTGATGTGGAGCTTGAGGAGGCTGATTACAAATTGAAGCTTAAAGAAGAATTGAAAATAAATGGAAAAGAAATGATGAGAGCACGTGGGTTTTAGGAAAAAGTTAATAAAGGATAAAGGGTAAATCACAACATGAGTAGTCCAAGTTTGGTGAGAATTCAACCTTTTCTTCTATTTTCTATATAGTTATGAATATTGTCTAATAGTTTGAATAAGATTATTTTGGTCACTTATCTTGGTAACTAAGTATTAAATTGACCCTTTGAGTTTTTAATTTTGTCAGTTATGTCCCTCTATTATAGAAATGATTTTAATAAATTATTGTTATGGCTAGGAAATTTATTTTGGATTCGGGATCGTATATTAGAAGGTTCGAGCTCTTGAGAAAAAGATTTGAAACTAGAAATTGAGTTGGTGAGCTCAAATTCAAGAGTTATTGTTTGGGTTTTGTCGACATCTTGAACCCGATTTCGAAGTCTGTTTTGTCAAATTCGAACCCGGAATTATTAGAAGTTGAATTAAAGATCGAGTGCATTCGAATGGAATTTAAATGGTCAATCAGTATGGCACGGAAATTGAGGTAATACTTTACTACCTCTTTATGCTTTATGGATCATGTGAATATTGGTAAATGCATGAATAAGATATTATTGGTCTCATATGTGTAGTTAATTAATTTCTACACTCGATCCGAATACGATAAAGATTCGGTAAATGTTTATGGTTCAGATGGATTGTTAGAATTAAAATTACAAGTTATGTGTTTAGTGATAAAAGAATCTGCTTGGATCTGTAACATATAATTTATTTCATCAAAGGTAATTGGATGATACATTATGAGAATACACCAGTAGGATAAAATTACGGAAATACCCTTATATTGTAAAAAGACAAGATTTGATCATAGAAGTTGGATAAAGGATTTTTAAAGACATATTGATTCGATAAAATTTCAGATGTGCATAAGAAATGCTAGTTTTGATTAGAAAATTTTGATATTTGGTTTTTAACCCCAAGGTGGTTTGTACAAGCTACTAGAAGTTGTTAAGGGAATCATTTCAAGAGCAGAGAATGTTCAAGAAAACAATTAATCATAGGATCTCTATATTATAATTATTTTTGTTAAGAGTTAATACTGAAATTATCTGTTTAAGAAATTACGAAAATGCCCTTGAGAGGTAAAAATAGTTTGAGTTAAACTTGATTGAGAAAGTACTTTGAGGATTCGTATTTAACTCGATAAATTATGGATATAATTGTTAAGATCCGTATTTGTATAGAAAAATTTCCTGATAACCTGTTTGTAACTTCTGAGAAGGCAATTAACCTGAAAATGTATGGGTTAAGAATAAATTAGTGAGGGTGCTCTTTTGTCAGAATTGTTCGAAAGGTCTGGAAAAGATGATACGTTTGAATTAAATAATAAGATTGGATGGAAGAAAATGATTGAAATGCGTTGGATCAGTAAAATGACCAAAATATCCCTTTAATGGAAATGAATCAAGAATATCACCAAGCCCGGGAATGAATGCATATCCTCAAGCTTTGAAATGAATGAAAAAACATTGAGCATCGAAAGGACCAAAATACCCTTATGGCCAAGAATAAGTAAATGATTTGGATTCATTAAGGAATTCAAATAAATATGGATGTGGCATTGCCTTAAAAAGTTATGGAAAACACCTTATGCGGGTCGATCAACGATAATACTATATCAGTACTTGAATGACATAGATATCACTTGAATGTGTGTTCGTCTTCTCAAGTTTGGATTGATGATAATTCGGTAATTACTCAGCTCAACTCTATAATGTATTCGGTACTAAGAAGTGGATATTCGTTAGACAAATTTACCACGAAGGCCATATTGAACTGAATGGAAATACTATATGGATTCGAAATTTAGAAACGTCCGAATTACTTTGGAAAACTCTGAAGTAACCGAGATAACTTGACTGCTAAAGGAATTAATTAATCTTTATGACTGAGGATTAAATAAGTGATTTGGATGAGTCTGGAACACTAATAAACTTGTATAATGTATTGTTGTTATGGTAACGAACCACAAATCAAATACGTTAGCATTTCTTGATACCGTTGAAACGTGGAAATGAAATAGAGACTATTGGAAGATATAAGCGATGATTCTAGAGATGATCTATGTATATGCATTTTGGTATTAAAGAGTTAATGCTATAAAAGGACAATGAATTGAGTAGTCGACAAGCATCAGTTCTAGAGTTGTTTGATAATTTGATCGATTATTATAATTGGTAAATGTCATGAATCTTTGTTTCTTCTTTATCAACTCAAATCACTCCAGGCGTTCTTGAATACTTTCCTGATGCACATGAAAACATAGTGGGATTCTAAGTATCAACTTTAAGTGTCCGATTAGATTGGTTAGTAATCAATCCTCTCCAATGGAACCTTGTTCCTGTAATCCGATCAAATTGCACAAGCTTCATGTTATCCATACTGATAACTATAAAATGCCTCTGAAAAATACTTGGATACTCTAGTGTGTTCCACATGTACTACATGACTGTTTTATATGTTTTGAAATGAGTTTTAACAAAATTATTGATTTACTGGTTTATGAACCATGGCAACATGGTATGTGATAACTGGTTACGGTTTTCATCGAAAACTATGAATTGTTATTGATTTATGGACCATGAAATATACTGGTTACTTATGGAACTATTTTATTGGGATATTATATGGGTAGACTGGAGATACAGCTCTGATTAAGCTGGAAATTTCTTACGGACCTAAGGTAATCATTGGGTAGGCTCTCAGGCCCCAAGGCACTCTCTTGGGTTAATCATGGAACTACTTATGGTGTACAGGTGGAAATCAGTTATATGGTTTATTTCATTACTATGATTATGACATATGACTGGATGGCGACCCATGTATTACGATTTATTGCCAAAATTGATTTCTACTGAATTTTTATATGGATAGGATTCTGGAGTATGAAGGCACAACCCTGATCCAGCTGGTCTTACGGACCTAAGGATATCCTTGGGTAGGCCCATGGGCCCCAAGGTATATCCTTAGGTTGGCTCCCTTTGTTGTGTGCTTAGGGTAAGCCCTACGGACGCAGTTCTGGGGAACTGCATGACGGAGTTGGTTGGAGGGTTCCACTATGGTTTTAAAAAGATTTATATCTTTTCACTAGTTTTGATTGTAACACACTAGACGTCCTATTCGATCTCCTAAAAACGTGATATTATGAAATGTTTCCTATGAATTGAGATATTCATGGCTTCTATTCGATGAACTACCAGTGGAACCTCTGATTATCCCGAAAATTTGTGTACGTCTGATTTAATAAGGAAAGTATGGCTTTCCATTTATCTGCATGTCCTATAGCATAATCTGGTAGTTCTGTATTATTGAGCTTTCCGAAGCTCACTCTATTACTCACCATTGCAGGTTAAAAGAATTGTATCAGTACATCTATCGACATCAATAAGGGAGTTATTCCGGCGTTGCTTTCGGAGGATGGTACATGTGATTAGGGGGCATATAATTGTATTTTATTTTATATATGAGTCTGAAAAGCTGTTTTATTTCTGCATACTGATAAATGATTTTATAAGTTTACATGTTCTGATAAAAAGTTTTAAATTTTCCGTATTTTTACAGTGGGTGTTACAATCATATCGGGTTATCCGAATCGGTCTGAGGGTGTTACAATCCATCATCTGTTTACACATGGAAACAACAAGCTCATAGTGTTTCATCTTGGAAACTGCTCCAAGCAGATGGTTGAAAGCTACAATTGAGGGAAAGGGTCTCAACGAAATCATGGGTGGGTTTAGACATACCCATATTGACATATTTATCAGAAGCAGCAGAATAACTGGAAAGGAGACACGAAATGGGCAGCTTGGAGAAAGAAAATGGAACAGAATTCCGTGATTCAGGACCTGAAATCTTCAATAAAAATTTTGACTGAAGAATCTCGATGATGGCCTTGTTTTCGATAAACTATACTCCTGTAAAATCATCGACTTTCCAAAGGACTTGGGCTGCTTGAAACTACCATTAAGATCACCTGCAAGACAGGTCGTGGGAGTAGCTTAAGAGAAAACTATATCATCACCAAGTACTTCTTTACATTCAGGTGCAGGGAAGGTATTATCATCACCAGTCAGATATTTCGACACACTGCTAGCAGAAAACATGACCGCAAATGGCAAAAACAGGATCATGATGTGTACCCTGTAAAAATTATTAAGCGTTATAATAAGTATACGGATCCCTTTGGAAAGATGAACTTTTTCAGCTCTTTAGCCAGATACTATGAAAATTGGGATTGAAAAATACTTCACATCTCAGCCAAGTCACACAGGATCGAATTCACATCGTTGGCACCAGTTCTGTCGTCGGAGTAAATTAAAAGCAGGCTCCGTTGCATTATTGGATCCAGAACTGTTCACGAAGTGGGATTACTACCTTAAACTCTATGATCCCTCATAATATCGAGCTTTCTTTCTTATAAATAGGCTTCCCTCTATTAAAAAAGGGCTAAAATATTAAACACACTGATCACTCCACAAAGTTGAAGGTTTGTTGACCTTTCTTGATTAAACACACCGAATAGAAACTACATCAACTTTGGTCTTAAAATATTAAAAATATTAATGACAATGAACTTGCTTACACATCAAAATACAATCATATAAACAATACAGAGAAGTCAATGCAACTGTAACAACAGTCAGATTCTGAGCAATAGAGCCATATTTACAATGAAACATTACGTTCAAGTAAGCCTCCAATGGCCACAACCACGACTTTAGTGCTGATTCAAATTACAACCTGCAGCAAAAGGAAAAAATTATAGCAATCACACAAAAGGTTAAGTTCCAAAACGTTCACAAAAAGCCTCATTTTCTCTTTTGGTTCACAAAATAACGTCAAATGATGGTTCAATAAAAAATGACAAAGTTCATCTAATATCCCGGCATCATCTCCATTTCAGCAGTAACAATGAAAAAACTGAAACAAAATAACAAAAAGAATGAGATGTTAATTAATATACTTACCATCTGCAACATACAGCTTTCATAGGCTTGTCAACTCTCTTAGCATGCTATGAGTTTCCACATTAAGTGTCAATCCCTTTTGGAGCATTTCTTCAGCAAGCCTCGCAATCTCCTCTTTTCCTTTGCTCCTTGCAAACCCATTGATCAGCATCTTGAAAGCCGTTAAATCAGGTGCAGAACCTTGGGTTGCTATTGAATCAAAGACATCCTTTCCCTTGTTCATTTCACCAAGCGCAGTATACATTCAGATCATTGCCCTGTAAGTAAATCCATTAGGCTTCACACCATGTTGATCCATTACCTTCAGTACTTCACGAGCTTTGTCGTTTGTTCCATGTTTGATAATAGCATCCAACAAAATGTTAAAAGTTTCAATATCAGGAACAATATGTTGAGCGACCATCTTACTGAGCAAGCTTGTGGCTTCTTCACATTGGCCTGATTTGCACAATCCATGTATTAAACAACCGTAGGTGACTATGTCAGGTTTTACATTTCTTTGACTCATTACTTCCAATAAGGTAATGGCTTCTTCTGTTCTCTTTTCCTTGCATAAAGCATCGATTAAAGAATTGAAAGTTACTACATTAGGATGGATTCCGTCATTCATCATTCTCTCGAGCAAGTTTGTTGCTTCTGTCCATTTACCTGAATTGCAGAATCCATGTATCAAACAACTGTAGGTGACTATGTCAGGTTTTACATTCCTCTGACTCATCAGTTCCAACATGGTAATGGCTTCTTCAGTCCTCTTTTCCTTGCAAAAAGCATTGATTAAAGAATTGAAAGTCACAACATCAGGATGAACTCCTTCATTCATCATTCTATCGAGCAAGCTTGTTGCTTCTGTCCATTTACCTGAATTGCAGAATCCATGTATCAAACAATTGTAGGTGATAATGTTGGGTTTTACATTCGTCTGACTCATCAATTCCAACATGGTAATGGCTTCTTTGGTCCTCTTTTCCTTGCAAAAAGCATTGATTAAAGAACTGAAAGTCACAACATTAGGATGGACACCTTCATTCATCATTCTATCGAGCAAGCTTGTTGCTTCAGTCCATTTACCTGAATTGCAAAATCCATGTATTAAACAATTGTAGGTTACAATGTCGGGTTTTACATTCCTCTGACTCATCAACTCCAACATGGTAATGGCTTCTTCGGTCCTCTTTTCCTTGCAAAAAGCATTGATTAAAGAATTGAAAATCACAACATCAGGATGGACACCTTCATTCATCATCCTATTGAGCAAGCTTGTTGCTTCTTCCCATCGCACAGAATGACAAAATCCATGAATCAAAGAATTGTAGGTGATGGCATCTGGCTTTACACCTTTACGAGTCATTAGTTCCAGAATTTCAACCGCCTTTGATAACTTCCCCTCCTTGCACAAACTGTCTATCATGGAATTAAAAGTTATAGCATCGGGTGAAATTTCAGATCCAATCATATTTTCAAAAAATTTTGTGGTCAGTCTCCACTCACCAAACTTGCATAACGCACGGATTAGCAAATTATAAGTGACAACACTTGGCTTTATGCCTTTTTGGGTCATTAAATCGAATAGAGATATTGCTTCTTGGATCTTCCCATCCTTGCAAAGAGGAGCAATAAGAGCACTTAGGATATACGCATTAGGAGAAATCCCCTTGTTAACCATGGCAGCTAATAATCGTTTTGCTTCATCCCAACGGCCGGCGCTGCAAAACCCATTAACTAAAGAACTAAAAGTAACAACATTTGGCTCAATACTCCAATCTAACATATCTTGAAAGATAATGAAAGCCTTATCCATTTGTTCCTCTTTACAAAATCCATCAATAATTGTATTATAGCATATTACATTAGGTTCAAAGCTTCTATTTACATTCATCTTCATCAGTAAAACAACTGCAAAACGAATATTCCCTGAGTTGCAAAGCCCCCTGATAATAATACTATAAGTGTATTGATCACACGGGTAATCGTTGTTCAATATTTTCCAAAACAACCCCCTTGCCTCAGCAATCTTACCCTCATCAATCAGCCCAAGAAGCAGAGCATTCGTGGTATAAGGGTTAGGATGAAGACCACGTTTTATAATCATAGCAAACGCAGAGAAACCCAAGTCCACTTTCTTCAAATTGCACAAACAACGGATCCAAATGGTCATTGCAAAAATATCAGGTTGCAACTCACTACAGCCCACCATCTGTTTACACATAGAAATAACGAGTGCATAGTGTTTCATCTTGGAGAGTGCTCCAAGCAGATGGTTGAAAGCCAAAATTGAGGGCAAGGGTCTAATCGAAATCATGGAATTGAAAAAACCCAGAGCTTCATCAAGTTCAAGGGATCCTGATTTACACTTATTTACGACCAATATTTCGAGATGGGTGGTTTTTGTCATACCCATATTGACATATTTATCAGAAGCAGCAGAATAACCGGAAATGAAACAAGTAATGGGCAGTTTAGAAAAGGAAGAAGGAAGAGAATTACCAGAGAAAGGTAGAATCAAAGCAGGAAATGAGGAGGATATTCTCTTCATCGTATGTAAACCTAAACCTGCCTTCATTACCTTGGTTCCCAATTTCTTATTTTGAGACGACAATACGTAAAAGGATCAAAATGTCAAATTACTCGTTATGAAATTTGTTTTATTTAGTAGGGTTATTTCACCTCTATCATATTCAAATTTAGGTTAAATTATTTAACTTATGGATTTATAATTATTTCTTTTGGAAAGAGAATCGGACCTCGTTAAAAAATCATATATCTAACCATGATTTTTACTTGTTGGTTTTATCAAACAATGCAATGCATTACTACAAAGCAAAAATTAGGAGTGAAAAAATACTTGGTTAAATCAAATTAATTTAAATTTTAAGATTTATTCAATTTTAATAATTTTAGTTGGTTGTTGATTTTAGATACAATAGAATTGATTATACATATATATTTTAGGTAAACTACATAGTAGGTAAACTACATAGTGACCAGTTATGTAGTTTCTTTTCATTTTTATCATCATTTTTGAATTTTTGTCAAATTATATTACTTAACTATTTAAATGTATTCAATCAGATCATTTGTCGTTAACATTTAAAGAAATTGCTTACAAGTCAGTTAATAAAACTAATATAATTACATATTTGATCAATGCTACTTACATATTCTATCAATTTAGTCTTAATTTTAATAAATTAAAATAAATTTAATTTTCGAATCAGATCATGTCTGTCAGGATCATCTTTCGGGTAGGCCCGGAATTGGGCTTCGACTTGGATTGATTTGGGTTAGAGTCGCCACCGACCACTTTAAAACGAATTTAGGTGGGTCGGACACCATCTTACCTGATCTGCATTGTACCAGAAACGTGTTGGGTTCGGGAGTCGGTTACGGTCAAGGAAGGATTAGCACCCTTGAACCGCCCTTTCGATACCAATTAATTTATCGGTTGTCTTAATAACGAAAATTAAAATTAAAATTTTAAAAACCCGATTCAAATTACTTACCTCTTATTAGTTTGAATTTCTCTAATAGACAAAATAATAATAATAATACATAAATATTAAATTAATCAAAGAAAAAAATAAATAAAAAAATAAATCAAAAGAAAAAATGAAAAAAAAGAAAATTTAAATAAATTGAAAAATAAAAAAAGAATAAATCAAAGAAAGAAAAAATAAAAAATTAAAAAAATAATGAAAATAAAAAAATAAATCAAAGACAACGAAAAAAGGAAGAATAAAAAATAATTAAAAAAATTAATGAAATAAAAAGAAAAAGAAAAAAAGGTTAAATTTTAAAAATAATAAAATAAAAAATAATATGAAGAAAAAATAATTTTATAAAAAATAAAAAAAATAATAAAGTAAAATAAAAAACTTAGATGATCAAATTGGAACAAACTGAAATTAATAGATTAAATTGGTATTAACAACAACTGGAAAGGACTGAATACAAATTAAAAAATAAACGAGAGACCAAATCAAAAAGACTAAACAACACAAGCACTAAAGATGTAAATGACCCAAATGCCATAAAACCATGGCCCTAACTCTAAATCTACAAAAAACCACGGGCTCAAAAAAAAAATCATGTAACAATTTTTTATTAAAAAAATAAAACTTAAATTAAACTCACTTGGCCATCCATTCTTCTCTCTCACGCCGCAACTCTCCTCTCTTCTCACTTCTTTTTTTCATTTTTTTTTACAGAAAACTAAACAAATTTCAAATGGCTCGACTCTAAGTGTGGATTAATAGAAGAAACGGGGTTACCTTCGACAGTGAAAGGAGTTCCCTTTTCTCTGATGAAGCAACCGAAGCGTTCCGAGCAAAACGGTAAGTTCTTTCTTCTCCTTTTTTCCTAGAACTCTTTGTTGTGTAAAATGGTAGCTGATTTCTCTGGTTTTGATGATGGTAGAAAAAGCTTCTTCCTTTTTGATTGAAAACCCCTTGAAATATCTCTGGTGTTCCTCTTTGTGTTTTTTCTTTTATGTTTGAATCTGTTGCCCCTCCAAATGTGTTTACACGCTTTATTTATAGTAGAAAAAAGTGCTTGAATCTCAGTAAAACTCTAGGTTTGTTGTTGTTTATGTTTGTTGGTGTTGGTGCCGAGAAAACTGGCGAGAGACCCGGGTTGTTGGAGTGGTTGTTGAGCGTGCTGAAAATCACGGGGCTGATCTGGAGCGTTTAAGGTTGTTGTTATGTTTGGACGAAAATTGGTGTTCACAGTTGCCCCTCTTTGTCATTTTTTGTAGAACGAAAAATAGGACAAAGATAAAATGACACAAATTTGCGTTCGGTGGAGTCTGATATTTCAATTAAGAATAACTCTCTGTCGAGTTGAGTTGCAGATGACTCCTCCGTTGTGAAATCAAGTCCATCTTGAAATGAAACTGAAGTCGTAGTTCGGAATTTGAATTGGAATGTGGCTTCTCGTTGCCCTTTGGCCTTCTTCTCTATTTAAAGACCTTGGTTTAAAAAAATCAACTGGAAAATAATTCTTTGACTTCACCGTGTGGTTGATAGGCCTTCGAGCTGAATGAAATCGAACTCGAAAGGTCCTCGTCGACAGGTGGCTTTTCTCGACTTAAGATATGCTGCCAGAAAACAGTTTTTTGTCACTGAGGCACGGTTAACCCGAGTCTTCTTCTTGACTTGTAAACCTTGATTGCAACCGGAAACTACTGTGATTGAGATGTCATCGAGCTGAATGAAATCGAACTCGACAATTTTATTGGCAAATAGCCCTTCTTCCCTTGAGCTATTCTGTAAATTTGATTTGCCTCTGAGCTGAGTGTAATCGAACTCGAAGGTCTTTGGCAGATAGCCATTCTCGACTTAAGCTATGTTGCAAATGATGTGCCTTGGAGCTGAGCGTAGTCGAACTCGAAGGTCTTTTGGTGGCATATAACCCTTCTAGCCTTGAGTTATGTTGTAAATGATGTGCCCTCGAAGCTGAGTGTAATCGAACTCGAAGGTCTTCGGTTGGCAGATAGCCCTTCTCGACTTAAGCTATGCTGCAAATGATGTGCCTTGGAGCTAAGCGTAGTCGAACTCGAAGGTCTTTGGTCACAGATAACCCTTCTAGCCTTGAGTTATGCTGTAAATAATGTGCCCTCGAAGCTGAGTGTAATCGAACTTGAGGGTCTTTGGCAGATAGCCCTTATCGACTTAAGCTATGCTGCAAATGATGTGCCTTGGAGCTGAACGTAGTCGAACTCGAAGGTCTTTTGGTCACAGATAACCCTTCTAGCCTTGAGTTATACTGTAAATGATTTACCTCAAAGCTGAGTGTAATCGAACTCGAGGGTCTTTAGCAGATAGCCCTTCTCGATTTAAGTTATGTTGCAAATGATGTGCCTTAGAGCTGAGCGTAGTCGAACTCGAAGGTCTTTGGTTGGCAGATAACCCTTCTCGACTTAAGTTATGCTGCAAATGATATGCCTTGAAGCTGAGCGTAGTCGAAATCGAAGATCTTTTTGGTCACAGATAACCCTTCTAGTCTTGAGTTATGCTGTAAATGGTGTGCCCTTGAAGCTGAATATAATCAAACTTGAGGGTCTTTGGCAGATAGCCCTTCTCGACTTAAGCTATGCTGTAAATGATATGCCTTGGAGCTGAGCGTAGTCGAACTCGAAGGTCTTTAGTTGGTAGATAACCCTTCTTGACTTAAGTTATGCTGCAAATAATATGCCTTGGAGCTGAGCGTAGTCGAACTCGAAGGTCTTTTGGTGACAGATAACCCTTCTAGCCTTGAGTTATGCTGTAAATGATGTGCCCCAGAAGATGAGTGTAATTGAACTCGAGAGCCTTTAGCAGATAGCCCTTCTCGACTTAAGCTATGCTGCAAATAATGTGCCTTGGAGCTGAGCGTAGTTGAACTCGAAGGTCTTTGGTTACAGATAACCCTTCTAGCCTTGAGTTATGTTGTAAATGATGTGCCCTCGAAGCTGAGTGTAATAGAACTCGAGGGTCGGTAGATAGCCATTCTCGACTTAAGCTATGCTGCAAATAATGTGCCTTGGAGCTGAACGTAGTCGAACTCGAAGGTCTTTGTTGGCAGATAACCCTTCTAGCCTTGAGTTATGATGCAAATGTTGTCTTTAAAAAAATGCCTTACCTTCACAGGTCTAAGCCGGTCATAGTTCTTCAGGTGGTTCCTTTGAGCAAGTCTGAACCAAATGAGACGATCTTTGAATGACTCATCTTTTACGGAAAGCCCACTAATAAATTCTGACAGCCGGATATCTTCCGTTGTGGAATTGAAATCTAGCTTGAAGACATTAACTGGAAACATGCTGCTCATTATTGAGTTGAGTTGAACTGGATTTGATCTATATTGGTTCTCGAACCTATCTAAAATTGGTTCTGAGATCTGTAGATATGTCAAGTCGGTTGAGGTGTAGCTTCTCACTGTTGAGTTAAGCAACCACCATCGTTCTCTAAAGGCGCTTGCGAATCGAGTATCCTTCATCCTAAAGTTGAAACTTGACTCTAAAAGCTACAAAAATATTGTATGCTAAAATGATGAATGTGATGCACCTAGGTATGTCTAAGATGCATGCAACATGAATGAATTATGTTTTATCTCTTGGACTGGAGTCCCGTGTTTCGTCTGCCAATCTGGTCCCTAGAATCGATCGTGCCCCATCCTTTTTTCAAGCTTGGGCTTTACAGACCCTTCATATCTGAGACTGTTCTGTTTGAAAATGTTTTTTCTCATTTTTCTTGTTTTAGGAGGGAAAATGATAAAAATGTTGTAAAATATTGTTCGCAATTGAATCAAATTGTAAATGTGAGTTCAAAGAATATCAAAGGAATCAAGAGCTCTTTTAATGCTTTCAGAGTTACAGCTCTTTGACAAATGTTCAAATGGATGAGTTGACTTTAGGTTGGTCTCTTTTCTAAGGTTTTGGTAACTCAAAATGTCATTTTTTTAAAAATATCGCAACATGCTTTGGCATTTCAATTGGGTGCGAACAAAATGACGCAACTAGCATGATCAATTACTAGACCTTTTATTTCGGTCCTCTGAAAT